TGTCCAGCCGCGTGCGCCCCTCGACACGGGTGCCGGTGACGATCACGTCATTCTGCTGGTCGGCGGGGGTCGCGACATCGGCGCCGGTGGGGGCGACCCTCGGCCGTTCGCTCGCCTGCGTGCCCGATGCCGGCGTCGTGCTCTGCGCGAAAGCCGGCGGCCGATCAATACGGCGAGGATGGTGCCAGTCAAAGCGGCCGTACAAGCTGATGCACCCTTGCAATCTCCTGTATTTTGGTGTGACCCGGACGATCCCTATAGGCACAGCCGGTCCCTGATAGGGATGAAAAATCTGTGCTCGGCATAGGCGGAATTGGAAACGGGCGGCCCGATCCGATAGCCCGCAGAAATGTGGCCCGGATTCAGGGCTTATCGCCAACAAGAAAAGGTGGGAATCTCCGCATTTCCACTCGCGCGAAATGATGGACAAAAGGGTACGCCATGCATGGGTCATGGCGGTGGCGGCGTACTATTTCTGTTATTGGCGGTCGTGATGGCGTTCACTGGCGACGGTGCATCGCGCGGATCATCGCGGCCACCGTCGTGGTGGCGGCGATCGCCAGGACCTTGCTGCCCGATCTCGATACGCCGCTGCGCCTTCGCCATCGCAGCGCCGCCACTTCACAGCATCCTGCCGCTGTTCGTCGCCACGCTCGACCCGCGGACGCGCGCCCGGTTGCCGCTGGTTTGGGCTTCGGTATCGGGCTGCATCGGCGGCGGACCTGTTCCCAGTCGGATGCGAGGGTTCGCGACGATCAAATTTCCGCTCTGGGGATCGATCAGGCCGATCCTGTCTATCTCTGGATCGCGACCAATGCGGTCGCCAATCTGCTCGGCGGCCTGATTCTGCTCGGCCGCGTGGCACAGGGCCAGCCGATGCTCGCCGCCATGGCGACGGTCGGGATCATGGAACCGTCTATCTGATCCGCACCGATGGCGGATGGTGTGCACTGGGCCTGTTCGGACTGATCGGCTGGCTGGCCTTCCGCTGAACGTCCTACGGCCTCTCAATCGAGCGAACAGGCGGTGATGGCCGGCGTAAACCGGGCATTGTGGAGCTGCCGCAGCCGCTCGACCTGAGCCAGCGAAGCGGTCAGCACGGCGGCCGGCGCCGAGGCGATCGGCTCGGTGGAGCGCCAGCAATTCGGCGTCGAGCCCAGCCCTGCATCGCCACTTCGTCGATCGTGCCGAGCCCGCTGGGTCGCGGTCCGACCCATCCGCCTTGTTCAGCGGCACCGCCAAGGGGCGGATCAGGTGATGCGCCGCCCAGGGCATCGACCAATGATTGCACCGCCGTGACATCAGCCACCACCTGACCCAGCGCGCGGGCGATATCCGCCACGATCAACCGGACGATCCCCCTCGAACAGGGCTTCCCCTCCTGCCCGGGGTCAGGTCCGCAGGATCGATCGCAGCCCCAGCCCCGTCGGCAGCCAGCCGGAAGCCGCCGAGCAGCGCCGCGCGAGGGACGCCGGTCGCCTGAAACCCGCCGGCGAAGACGAAAAAAAAGATTGGCCGGTTCGATGGGGCTCATCAGCGCAGCGGGTTGAACCGCCCGGTCTGCCCATCCTTGGCGAGGGCACAGCGGCATGTCGGCGGCAAAAGGCGATCTCAGATAGGCCGATGCGGATGATCCGCGCGTGCACCGCCGCATGACGATTATAGCGCAGCGCGCCATGCGCAGCTGGGGAAAGCAGGTGATGCCGGTCATACCGTTGCAGACCATGTTCGCGGATCGCGCGCAACAGGTCGCGGTGACGCCAGCGCACGGTCCCCAGTTCGTCCTTGGCGCGCGCCGTCCGCGCCAGCGAAACATACGCGAGAACCGCTTCTGGTGCGGCCGGGTCGATCGGCGGACAGGCGCCGTCAAAGCCCATGCCGTGGAGGACATATTGATAGCTGGGCGGGAAAAAGACCTCGCGCGCATGCTCCGAAATCCACGGGGGGCGGGCGAATGATGCCGCCACAGCTCCAGCCGCTCAACCAGCCCGTCAGGGGATCGAGGCAGCCGCAACATTGTCCCGCCAGAAGTCGCTGTCGGTGCGCCGGGTCAGCACATAATGCAACTTCAGAAACTCGATGATCCGCATCCAGTGATGGGTGAAGGTCGCATTGAACTGGCGCGCCATGACGTCCATCGCGGATCAGCGGGTACGCGGCAGGCGATCGGCAATCGCGTCATCGACGCCTCGATGACATCAGCGCGGATGCCTCCAGCGGCTCGATGAACCCGGCGGACAGGCCGACCGCGACGCAGTTATTCTGCCAAAACGCTCGCGATGGCCGGCATCGATCGTGATGCGTCGGACATTCAGGTCAGCCGCACGGGGCCCGACATAATCACGCAGCGCCTTCCGCCGCGTCATCGCTGATATGCGCGCTGCTATGGAACATGCCCGACGCCGCGCCATCTCCACAGGCCGATGTCCCAGATCCACCCCCTTTCTGCGCGGTCGACACGGTGTGGCAAGTGATAAGGCGCGTCCTCGTCGTCATAGGGCGCGAAGCGCCATGGCCCGGTCGGCGAACGGGGTCTCCCACAGCGACGGAACGGTACATCGTACACGCCACCGATCAGCAAGGCGGCAAAGCCCGTGCAGTCGACGAACAGATCGCCGGGGATCAACCGGCCATCAGCCAGTTCTTCGCGATGTCGCCATGTCCGGTCATATGCAGGCACACCACATCCCCACCACATGCTCGACCCCAGCATCCACGCCATGGTCGCGCAGCATCGTCGCGAACAGCCGGCATCCAGATAATGGGCATAGTTCGCATGGCCCGCATATTCAGGCATCACGATCGTCTTCAGGGGCAAGCCCCGCGTCGCGACATCGCCTGATAATCGACCCAGTCCGCAAAGACCGCCGCGTCGCCCTCCGGCCGATGCTGCCAGTGCGGCGCCATATCGATCTCGGTCGCGCCGGCCGGGGTTGAGTGGATGGTAATAAGCCATCCTGCGGCGTTCCATCGGTCCAGCCGACAAAGCGCGCGCCCTGTTTGAACGCGGCGTCGCATGACCAGATGAAATCGCTTTCAGTGATCCCGACAGCTTGGCGAGCGTGTTGCGCATCGTCGGCGAGTCCCCTCGCCCCACGCCGACCGTCGGCACGGTCCGGGATTCGACCAGCGTGACGCGAACGGCGTCCCCGTCCGTCGCACGCGGGCGGCCAAGCGACAGGCCGCGATCCAGCCCGCCGACCGCCGCCCACCACCACATGCCGCACCAGACCGTCGCCCTGTTCCGCCCGCTCCGTCATCCGCCTCTCCCCTCCAGCGTCCATCGTATGCCATTCGCGGCGATTACAATTGAACTTGTCTGACGCGCATAAACTTGGCCCAGCAAGTCGTTCAAGAAGAAGCGGCTGCAGGACATGTGATTAGGGGAGAGATATGATCCAAACTGCTGCAATCAAAAGCGTCATCATGCGTGTCGTGGGTGGCCTGTCAGTGCACTTGTCGCACTTATCGCCGCCACACCGGCAGCAGCGCAGACCCAGACACCGCCGCCGATCAGACTGCTACTCTCCCCAGCCAGACCGGGCGGACGGCACCTCCGCCGATATCGTCGTCACCGGCATCCGCCGCAGCATCAGATCGGCCGCCGCCGTAAAGCGCGATGCGGCCGGCATTCTCGGCCGCCATCTCGTCCGAGGATCTCAGGAAATTTCCCGACGCCAATGTCGCCGGGTCCGCTGCAACGCATTCCCGGCGTCGCGATCGACCACCCAGCAATGGCGAAGGCCAGTCGGTCAGCGTGCGCGGCCTCCAGCCCGCCTTCAACACCGTGTTGTTCAGCAGCCGCAGCTTCGCGTCGGACAATTACAATCGCTTTCTCCTTCGACCTGATCGGCTTCGAACTGATCAGCGGCGCGCAGGTCTATAAACTCGCAGGCCTCGCTTCAGGGCGGCGGTATCGGCCCGCGACGATCAACGTCCAGACGCCGCGTCCGCTGGCGCTCAAAGGGGAGTTCAAGGGCGTCTTCACCCGGCAGGAGAGCGCTGTATGAGGGACAACAGCAAGAAGGTGACGCCGCAGCTCTTCGGGCTGCTCAGCGACACCTTCGCCGATGGCGAGCTGGGGTTGCTCGCCTCGATCTCGTGCCAGAAGCGCATCGCCTCGATCCGTGCGATCAACACCGACGTATATTCCCCGGCACCTCGGTCGGCCCGAACAGCGCGCCGCTCTATACCAATGTCTATGCCCGCGAAACCGGGACGTAGACGCGACGCGCGACGCGCGCCAGACCCACTGAGCGCCACGCTAAATCGCGCAATATGCCCCGACCGACGAGCGGCCTTCACTGTCGACGGCCTGTACAACCAGTTCAAAAAAGCGACACGACGACGCGGGGTTTGGGCAGTTGGTTTCGAGCCGACCAACTACACCGCCGCCGGGATCGATTCCAACCGCACCGTCACCTCGCTGACCACCAATGGCAATGCCGACTTCATCGCCTCAGGCGGGGTGCGCGAGACGACGACCTATGAGGCCGGGTTCAATGCCGAATGGCGCCCGACCGAGACGGTGCGCATGGTCTTTGACGCCACCTGTTCGCAGGCCAAGAATGCGGGCGGCGGCAAATCCTATTCACCGTTATCAGCGTGCCGACCAATATTCGTTCAACGCGGCCGAAGAAACGGCATTCCCTCCACCTCAGGCTATGCCGGCGGCGTGCTGACCAACCCGGCGCTGGGTCGTACCCATATCGCCAGGCGTACCGGCAATGACGTGACCGAAAGGTCCGGGAATATCGCTGGAACACCGAATGGAAACCGGGCTGGGACATCGTCTCGGCGCTCCCGCTTCAGCATGACCGGCACCTCGCGACAAAGCGCAACGTCCCCTTCTCGTCCGATCCTAATATCGGCTGCCTCTATTACGGCTATCCGACGCTCGCCGATCCGTCGCTGCTCTCGCCCTTCACCATCGGAGCACTGGGACAGAAGGGCGGCGGCGTACCCGACCACCTTCCCTGACCTATGATCCCGGGCCTGTTTCAACTTCCTGACCAGCGCGGCGGCGGCGGCCCGCGCTCGATCGTGCCAGGGGCCAGCCAGTGGGCACGACGGCGGCGATCTTCGCGCGCACCAATGGCTATGCGGTGACCGAGCAGCCTCGGCCCGCGTGCGCGAAAAGGTGTTCGCCAGCTATGCGGATGTCGATCTGGAGGGACGGTCGCCGGGCTCCTGGTTCATCAATGTCAGCGGGCGGTATGAATATGCGAACTAGTCTCCGCCGGACAGCAATTGCAGTTGATCGACCTGCTGCCGGTGCGGGCGATCCGACGACCTATACCGGCGTCTTCGCCAACAACCGGGCGGCGGTATCGGTCAACCGGCGTTCTTCCTACAGCAACTTCCTGCCCAACCTGAACGCCAAGCTGAACTTCCCGCCCAAGCTCCGGGCGCGCTTTTGCGGCGTACAAGACGCTGACGCGGCCAGCGATCGGCGACTTGGCGCCCAGCACGGACATCGGGACGCTGCGCCCCGCCACGCTGACCGCCAGCGGCGGCAATCCTGAGCTGAAGCCCTATCGCGCGACCAATTTCGACCTGTCGCTCGAATGGTATCCGACGCCGACCACGACCCTGTCGGCGGCGGTGTTCCATAGACGGTCAACGACTTCATCGTCAGACCTTTGGCGAGGAATTGTTCACCATCGCCAATGCCGGCAACCTGCCGGTCGGCGGGCTGATCGTCGGCCCCAACACCGCCAAGTTCAGCGTCCGACGCCCGCGCAACGCGGGTCGCTGAAGATCAAGGGCTCGAACTGAACGTGGTGCATACGTTCGACTGGCTGCCGGGCGTGCTGAGCGGTTTCGGTGTGCAGGCCAATGCGACCTTCGTGACCACCAACCGCGAATTCGACGTGAGCCCGGGTCGGCCAGTCCTTCGCGGCAGAGGTATCGGCAATTCGCAGAACGCCACCCTGTTCTACGAAAAATTCGGCGTGTCGGCGCGTATCGCCTATAACCGGCGCGAACGCTTCCCTTCAGCAGCTCGCGGGCGGTCCGGGTAACGAGCCGGTGTTCGTGCGCGATTACGGCCAGTTCGACGGCAGCGTGGCGGTGAACGTCACACCCTTTGCCCAGTCTTCGTCGAGGGGACCAACCTGTTCAACGCGAAATATTTTCGCGACCGGGCGCTTCGACAACCAATTGCTACGCTACCAGAATTTCGCCTCGCTATGACGCGGGCGTCCGCTTCTCCCTTTAAGGGCTGAACCATGTCGGGGCGGGAGGGCATCGCCTTCCCGCACCGATCTTCCACTGCTCGGAAAGCCGCCGAACCATCACTCCGCCGCGATGACGGTCAGTGCGGCCGCCAGCGCGTCGAAGACCGTCCGGCATCGCGAGATCCGCCGCAAATCCTCATGCATGACGATCCATAGGGGAAGCGGCAGGTCCAGCGCATCGGGCAAGATACGAACCAGCGCCGGATCGCGGCGGGCGATCGCGGTCTGGCAGATACCGATGCCGAAACCGGCCCGGATCGCCGCAAACTGCGCCGCGTCGCTATCGACCCGCAGGGCGAACATCATCGATCGATGCCGGGCAGAAGTGCCGCATCGCCGCGCGGATGAAGTTGGTCTGCGTGTCGAAACCGATCAGGTCATGCCCGCGCAGCTCGGCCAGCGTGCCCGGTATGCCGCGCCGATCCAGATAATCGCGGTGAGCATGGAAACCCGGGCGAACGGCACCGACCTGTCGGGCGACCAGCGCCTGCTGGGCGGGCTCGAAACATCCGGACCGCGATATCGGCACGGCGTTGCAGCAGGTCGTCGGGCTCATCGGACAGCGCCAGTTCGATCGTAAGTGCGGGATGCGCGCGACGTAGGTCAGTGAGGATGGGCGGCGGGTGCATGACGCCGACCGCACGGCTCGCACTGATCCGCACGACGCCGGACGCCAGTCCGGCTCGCCGCTGCCGGTACGGCGCAGCGCCCAGGCCGCATTCACCAAGGCCTCGGCATGAGGCGGAGCGCATGGGCACGATCCGTGGGTGACAGCCCCCACTGCGAGCGGACGAAGAGTTTGCCGCCCAGCTCCTGCTCCAGTGCGTCGATATGGCGCGCGATGCTCGGCTGCGTCATGCCAAGCGCTCCGGGCTGCGCCGGACAATGATCCTTCGCACAGCACCGCTGCGAAGCTGCGATAGACGTCCCAACGGCTCCTCGCTCATTCATTTTCGTATAGCTGATTGCCGTTTTCGGCAATTTCCGTTCACCGCCCGGCATCATTATTCCCGGCATCACGAATGATGGAGGTGATGATGACGCAAAGGCACGGCCCTGATCTTGGGCGCCACGGGTGGCATTGGCGGCGCGATGGCCCGGCGACTGCTCGCGGGGGCTGGACGGTGCGGGCGCTGACGAGAACGAGCGGCGCGCCACTTCCCAAAGGATGCGAACGCATGATCGGCGATGCCTGGACGAGACCAGCGTGATCGCCGCCGCCGCCGCCGCCGATGTTATCGTGCACGCGGTCAACCCACCCAGGCTATCGCGACTGGGGAGACGCTGGTCCTGCCGATGCTCGACAGCACGCTGGCGGCGGCGAAGGCGAATGGCGCGCGCATCGTGCTGCTGGTACCGTCTATAATTTCGGGCCGATGCCTTCCGCTGATCGCCGAAGACGCCCCCAGCATCCGCGCACCCGCAAAAGGCGCAATCCGTGTCGCGCTGGAGCTACGCCTGAAGGCGGCGTCGGAGGCCGGCGAGCCAGGTGCTGATCGTCCGGGCCGGCGATTTTTTTTTCGGACCGGGGCTGCGAACAACTGGTTCGGTCAGGGACTGATAGCCTGCGGCACACGTCCCCGTGTCATCCGCAATCCCGGCAAGCGCGACGTGGGGCACCAATGGGCCTTCCTGCCCGACGTCGCTGAGACGATGGCGCGGTTGCTCGACCGCCCTCTCCCCAGCCTTTGCGCGCTTCCATATGGACGGCCATTGGGACCCGGATGGGCGCGGGATGGTCGAGGCGATCGCGCGCGTATTGGGCGATCCGGCCGTACCGATCCGTCCGCTTCCCCGGTGGCAGCTTCGCCTCGCCAGTCTCTTCGCGACGACGCCGCGCGAACTGATGGAAATGCGCTATCTGTGGCAGCGACCGGTGCGCTGGACAACCGCCGCTTTGGTCGCGGGCAGGCGACGAACCGCATACGCCACTCGGATGAGGCGGTGCGCGTGACGCTGGCGGAGTCTGGGCTGTTTATGAGGCCGGGTGGCGCGGACCATCATCATCCTCTATATTCCACCGACAACGAAGGAGCCAAGCCCGTGAACAACCGGAAGATCCCAGCCATCCGCCCTGCCCTCCCCGTCCGTCACGGTGCCTATGTCCAGTTTCCTGACCTTCGCATCTTTCCGCCGCCACGCCTGACGGCAAGCGCTCTTCCACGATCTGACCTTTGCGGTCGGGACCGAGCGTATCGGTCTTGTCCGGCCGCAACGGATCGGGCAAATCCACGCTCCTGCGCATCGCCACCGGGAAGCCATGCCCTTATCGGGCAGCGTCCATCGCACCGGTACGATCGGCATGCTCATTCAGGCTGGCCCGAAAGACAGGGTTGCTGAAGCGCTGGGCGTTGCAGGGCCACTGGCTGTCCTTGCCCGGATCGAAGCCGGGGGCGGCACGGCCGCCGACTTCGATGTCGCCGACTGGATGCTTCCGGCCGCGATCGATGCCGCGCTCGCCGATATGAGGTTGGACGGCATCGACCTTCACCGACCGATGGGCAGCCTGTCCGGCGGCGAGCGAACGCGGATCGGCATCGCCAGACTGGCGATCGCACGGCCCGATCTGTTGCTGCTCGATGAGCCGACCAACAATCTCGATCGGGAGGGGTCGCGCCGCCATCGAGCGGCTTGTCGCAGGCTGGCGTGGTGGCCTGTTGGTCGCCAGCCATGACCGCGCCTGCTCGAGCATATGGATCGCATCGTCGAGCTCAGCCCGATCGGCAGTCGCATCGTCGGCGGCGGCTGGTCGGTTTTTGCCGCCGCACGAGACGCCGAGCGGGCGCTTGCCAAGCCGAACGCGATCGCACCGACGCGGCGCTTCGCGCCACTCGCCTCGCCGCCCAGACCGCGCGCGAAGCGAAAAGATCGCCGCGACAAGGCGGGTCGCGCTTTCGCCGCCAGGGGTCAGGCCGAAGATCCTGCTCGGCGCTCCGGGCGGAACAGGCGGAGAATAGTGGCGGGCTCGCCCGTCGTCTTGCGGATCGGCAGATCGGGAAGCCCGCGCAAGCCCCATGACGCGGCCCGCGCACGGATCGAGGTCCTCCGCCACTCACCATAACGTTACCAGCCACCGGCCTGCCCCGCAGGCGCAAACCCTTGCGATCGAGCAGGCGACGGTCGATCGCGGTGGCCAGCGCTTCGGGCCGTGGTCGCTGGCGATTCATGGTCCGGAACGCGTTGCGATCACTGGTCGGAACGGCGCAGGCAAATCAACCCTGCTCCGCCTCGCGAGCAGCGACCTCACGCCACTCACCGGCACCATCTGGCGGCGCGACGATCGGATCGCGATGCTCGACCAGCATGTCGGCTTGCTGAACCCCGACGATACGATCTTCGGCAATCTGCGGCGCCTCCACCCGACGCTCGACGACAAGCCGCCCATGCCGCCTGCGCACGCTTTGCCTTTCGCAATCGCGACGCGCAACGGGTCGTCAACAGTCTGTCGGGTGGCGAGCGTCTCAGAGCTGGTCTCGCCGCCGTTCTTTCAGGGGCCGCAGCCGCCTTGGCTGCTGATCCTCGACGAACCGACCAATCATCTCGACATCAGATCCATCGAGGTGCTCGAATGCGCCCTCAAAGGGTTTGACGGGCGCTGCTCTGGTCAGTCACGACGCCCGCTTTCTGGATGCGATCGGCATCGGACGGACCATGGCCATCGACGCCGTCGAAGAAGATGGCAGCGTAACGAAACCCAGCTGGGTTGCGCTCATGAAGCGTCTTCAGATCGCCATTGCGGGATGCGGCCCCGCCAGTCTCGCCTCGGCGTTGCTCCTGCATCGCGACGGCCATCATGTCACGCTTTTCGAGCGGTTCGATGCGCCCCCGGCCGGTCGGATCGGGACTGATGATCCAGCCGACCGGCTTTGCGGTGTTGCAGGCGCTGGGGTTGGCCGATGGCCTGCTCGAACTGGGCGCGGGTGGACCGCCTGCACGGCCCGGAAGCAGCAGGCGGGTTGTTCTCGATGTGCGCTATTCGGCACTGGGCAAGCGTGCCGCATTCGGCGTCGGCGTTCACCGCGCGACCTTGTTCAGTCTGCTGCACCGGCCGTCGTCACCGAGGGGATCGCGATCGAGACCGGCTGCGGGGTGACCGGTAGCGAGCCGTCCGCCGGCGACCGCCGCTATCTGCTGCTGGAAAAAGCCGCCGCATCGGCCCGTTCGACCTGATCGTCGATGCGCTCGGCACACACCGCTCGCACCGCCCTGTGGCCGTGCTGGGCCTATGGCGCGCTGTGGGGAACCCTCGACTGGCCCGCCCATGCCGGATTCGATCCGGCGGCGCTCGAGCAACGATACCTGCGGGCGAGCGTGATGATCAGGGTGCTTCGGACCGGACGCTTTCCGGGCGATATGCGTCAACAAGCCGCCCTTTTCTGGTCGCTGCGCGCCGATCGGCTGGCGGATTGGCGAGCGGCGGGGCTGGACGCACGGAAGGCCGAGGTCGCCGCGCTATGGCCTGCGACCCGGTCGCTGCTCGATCAGATCCACACGCCCGAGCAGCTCACCTTCGCTCGTTATGCGCATCGCACGCTGCCCGCGCCGACGGAGACGGGAATGATCCATATCGGCGATGCGGCATTCAGCCAGCCCGCAATTGGGCGGGTGCGAATATGGCGTTGCTCGATGCCTATGCCTTGGCGCTGGCTTTGCGGCGGTCACGGGACGTTGCATCGGCGCTGACCGATGCGATCGCGATGCGGCGGCGGCATGTCCATCTCTATCAGACGCTGACCGCCTTGTTCACGCCAGGTCTATCAATCCGACAGCCGGGTGATCCCCTTCATACGCGACCGCATTGTCGGCCTTGTCGAAGCTATGGCCTGCGCCGCGCATTCAGGCGGCGACCGTCAGCGGCTTGGTCGGCCATCCGTTGAAGCCTTTGTTCGACTGAATATTGCGGCCGCTCCGTGCGCCACGGGTTCGGGCGGACCGATACCGCGCCGTCTTTCGCCCATCGTCGGGAAAAGGCGCGTCGCTACGCGACAGAGCAAGCGATTGGGCGTCGCAACTCTTTCTCTCGAAACAAGGAGGCTCCGAAGTCGCGCCTGAGCTTGCTCTGATTACTCCGCGCCTTGCCCTCACCTACCCAAATCTTTGAAATTTCTTTTTTTCATGCGGCGGCGCGGGATGTATTTGACTCATAACGAAATTTTCATGATTGAAAAACAAAACATTCCAAGCGGTTCGATTCCTTATTGTCAGTCTTATTAATCCCTCGCAGGATGCGCTCGCGGATGTCGGCAGCATGACAAGGTCGCACCGCGAAACCCGGAGAGGAGTAGAGCGATGGGCAGATTTCATGTCGTGCGCCGGGCGGTGGCTTGCTGTGCACTGATCGGTTCGGCCGCCTTCGGCCAGAATGTTGCCGTCAACAATGGATCGCAGTTCACGACGACGACCGGCGACGCCGTGCAGGCTCATGGCGCTGGGATCGTCAAGGTCGGCAATTATTATTACATGCTCGGCGAAAATCGGGACGGCTGGCTGTTCAAGGCGGTTTCGATGTATCGCTCGACCGACCTCAACAACTGGGAATTCCCGCCGCGACATCCTGACCCGCAATTCGGCTCCCAGCCTCAACACGTCCAACATCGAACGGCCCAAGGTCATCTACAACGCCGCGACCAACAAATGTATGCTGTGGGCGCATAAGGAGAACGCCCCGGATTATGGTGAAGCACGGGTCGTGGTCGCGACGTCGGACACGGTCGACGGGGACTACACCTATGTCGGCGAGTTCCGGCCGCTCGATTATGAATCGCGCGACGCGGACGCTGTTCGCCGATACCGACGGCAACGCCTATCTGATCTCGGCGGCGTCCAACAATTACGACCTCAACATCTATAAGCTGAACAGCAGCTATACCGGCATCGACTTTCATCGTGACGGTCCTGCAGGGCTATCACCGCGAGGCCCCGGCGGTGTTCAAGCGCAACGGCGTCTATTTCCTGATCACCTCGGCCGCGACCGGCTGGAACCCTAACCGGGCCGCCTATCAGACCGCAACGAGCATGGCCGGCCCTGGACTGCGCCGCAGGCTTCGGCGATCCCCGCACCTATAATTCGCAATCCACCTATGTGCAGCCAGTGCAGGGGACCAATGGCACATCTTATCTCTATCTCGGTGATCGCTGGGGTCCGGCAACGGGGCAGCAGCCCAATGATTCCACCATGTCTGGCTGCCGTTGACCTTCCCCAGCGCGACCTCGGTGGACATGCCGACCTCGTCGCAGATCACCATCAATGCCAGCGCCGGTACGATCGCCAATGGCTATAGCGGCACGACGCCGACGATGATGAAGGTCGCCTCGGCGGGCTGTGCGCCAATGTCGCCAACCAGTCGCACCAACTATGACTCGGGATCATCCAATGGGATTGTGACGGCGCCCCCAATGCCATTAATGATCGAACGACGCCCCGCCGGCAATTATACCCAATATGTCTTCCAGCAGAGCGGTCTTTGCACAGCGGAGGCGGACAATGGCAACGATGTCGTGCAGACGACCTGCAATATCGGCAATCGCGCGCAATGGTCGGTGTCAGGATCAGCGATCATCAACCGCGCCAGCGGCCGCTGCCTCAACGTATCGGGTGACTCGCGCGACCGCGGCAGCAAGCTGATCACCGCCCATGCAGCGGTGCCATAAACGAACGCTGGTCGTTCACGTCATGACGAAGCACCATGGCTGGATGACGCTTGGCAGACGCGCGGTCGGTCTAGCTGCGCTGGCGGCCGGACTAGTCCTGACGCAACGCCCAGCCGGGGACACAGGCCATGGCGAAATCGCGGTCGTTGGTGGGGCGGCACCAGCCGCCTCGCCGTCCGTGGTCGTGGAGCACGCTCCCAAGCCACTCCTGCCCCACCACCCGTCACGGTCGCCACACGCAAGCCGCATGTGGCAGGCACTCGCCCGCAGCGACTCCGACACGCGCAACGTCGCCGAACTCATGCACCAGCAACCGCGCGACGCCCGGGGGCAGGCGATCGAGCAACGTGTGCTGAGCGCGTTTACCGGTCATTTCGCCGGTTCCGTCGTGGGCGAAGTGAGTCGCCTGCACGATCACGCTGTGCGAACTATCGGGGACGGCAAATGGCGGTCCCGAAGCGGCCCGCACCGCCTTCCGCGCCCCGGCAGTGCAGCAGGCCTTGGCCGCGATCAGCTATTCAGGGGGCGAGGAAGTGGTCGCAGGCCATGATGGGCAGAACGGATTTTGTCTTCTACGTCAATCGTGAGGCGTGAGGTACAAGCACCAAGACCGCGTTCGATGCGATCTCCGGGCGTCGAGCAGTGGAATGAAGCGGCTTCTCACTCCCCAGATAGAAGGCGGCCGCATCGGGATCGAAGAACGCCGCACGAAGCGGCATAGTCGCCGCGCCCACCGCTGCAGCATCTCCGCCGATCATCGATGGAGCAATTCGGGCCGCGGGGCGGTGGAAGCCACGGCGCTCAGGGTTGGTGGTGAAGGAATGCGCTCGGCAATCCGCGAGGCCAGTGAGGTCGGCAAACGGCCACCCAGCACGATCATGCCGGGATCGATCGTTGCCGAAATCGCAGACGCCACTAGATTGAGCGACGGCAGGCTGCGATCCAGCCACAGGTCTACGGCCGGATGTGCCGGATCGAAGCCGGCGAGCATCGAGTGGAGATCGGGAAACGGCGTACCGGTCTCCTCGAAGATCAGTCGCAGGCCTCAGATTGGGCTGCGGCCAATCCACCGGCAGGATCGAGGCGAATTCCCCGCATTGCCATGGCGTCCCCGCAAGGCAGCCCCTGAAATGATGCCGCCGCCGAAACCGACGGAAAAGTACAGATAGGCAAAAATCGGACGTCCGGCCATGACCAAGCATCGCTTCGCCGATCACGGCGACATTGCCGTCATTGTCGATCAGACCTTCTGCCCCAGCGCGTCGGCCGGGATCGTATCGAGCGGCACCAGCGCCCAGATCGAGCAGACGGGGCGGGTTCAATCGAGCGCCGTCGCCGATGAAATATCCCGTCACACCGACGCCGATCCCGACCAGCGTCGTGCGGTCGCGCCCCGCTTCGGTAACTGCGTCGTCGATCATCCGGCGGATCTGGCGACAGGCTGGTTGGATGGCGGTGTCGGCCAATCGTTCGCTATGGACGCCCTGCACCTGTCAGCCAGATCGAGAAGGACAAGCGACACGGCATCGGTCATCACCGACACCCCCCGACCGCAAAAGGCCGCCCCCCTCCAACGTCAGTTTCGCCGCCGGCTTGCCACGCCCGGCGGCAACAGGCATCGCCTCTTGGAGCAGGCCACGTGCGATCAGTGGCTCGACCAAAGGCGAGTGATCGAATGCGGTGCGAGCCCGGTCAGCCAGGCAAGATCGGCGCGACTCAACGCCCCCATGACGCGACAGCAATTCCATCACGACACGCTCATTGGCGGTCGCAGTGCGGCGTCCGTCTTCACGCAGGAATCGGGCCGGATATTCGCCTGCGGTGATCGCGTTCATGCGCTTGGCAAAGCCCGCAGGATCGCTGCTGTCAAGCGGGTGTGAGGACCGTAACGCCTTAACTATGCAGGCAGAACCATCGATGGGAGGTGGGCGGTATAGCCGTGCTGGGGAAGTGGGCGCCTCCCGGCGCCACAGGCAACTGCGCGGTCCGACCCATCCGGTTCGGCACATCGCTTTTTGCGGGAATGCGGCGTGGAACAGGCGACGGGGCACGGGGCCCGTTCGCGGCAGCCAACGAACCTTGTAGAGCTTCATACCCGGCGTCTCGATCCGCCGTGGGTCGGTCGCATCCCGGTTGGCCACCGTAAAAGCCATGCGCGCCCACCAGCTTTCCTCCGCCTGCACCCATGCCATCGCTTCTCGCGTCACGCTGACCGCCTTGACCCGTAGCTTGGGATTGAGCGCCGATAGGGCGTGAAATCGCCGTTGTCGGGATCGAAGCGCCAGACACCATCGTCGGTGGTGACGACATAACCGCCATCGGGCCCCCGGTGACAGGTCGTGTCCGTCCCGGCGACTGGGCAGCGTCCAGCGCGCGGTTTCGATCAGGTGGAGCTTGGCCGGCTTCGGATCGAAGGAAAAGGCACAGATCAGGTCATGCGACAGGGCAAACAGCCGCTGCCGCCGCGCATCCCAGACCGCGCCATGGCCGGAGGGCAGCGGCAGGGCGATCAGCGGATGCTCGCTCCGCGACAATTTGTAGAGTTCAATCGATCGCTCACCCCGGATGCCTATCTGATGCTCCGCCGCCGGAGCCGCCGCCTGTCGCGTGACGATGTGGCGCGCCGCATCGCACGCGGGCCGGAAGGGGTCAGCATCGCGGCGCAGCTCCTCCGGTCGCTGGAGACGCCCGGCGTCCGCGCCAAGCTGCGCGCGACGCTCGACCAGTTGCGCGCCGTCTTCCCCTTCGACCCGGATGTCTATCACCAGCTCTACAATGCACCGGCCGGCGCGCATCCGCGCATCTGTCGCCAGGTGCGGGGTCAGCGCACGACATGGAGACATCGCCGAGCGTCGAAGCCGGCGGCTGGCACGATGATGCGACCTGCACGCCTGCGCCACTCAGGCGGGGACCGCTGATGCAACGCGACCGGTTTCCCGTCGGGTCCGCTCTTCTCAGCGTCATTGTCGTCGCGATCGTCGCCATTCCCTTCGTGATCGTCACCATCGCCGCGCAGGCGAAGGACGCGCAGCGGTGACATGGTCGCGACCGGCATCTGTCATGGCGACCGCGCCGTCTATCTCAGGCTCGGTCAGTCGCGTGGCAGGCATTGCGACGTGCTGGCGGTGCGCGGCGCGCTCGCCTCGGTCGCTTCGACAGCGGCGCGGCCTGCTGGCGCTGGCCAAGGATTGCCACCCCATCCCACGCCGCCCGCCCCGATTTCTGACCCGCCCGGCTCCTGTTGAGCGCCTCTCTACAAGTCGGCTCTGGCCCACGACCCCAAACCCCAACACCCAAACAGGATGACCAAAATGCCCGATCCCCGGAAATCGCCGATGGCGCCGGTAACGTCACAGCGGACGAACTGCGCCTGCTGATCGAACGTGCCGAGCGCCCGGAAGAGGAAAGAAGGGCCTGAGCGATGACATCAAGGATGTTTTCGCCGAGGCCAAAGCCTTGCGGTACGACCCCAAAACCATCAAGAAAAATCATGCAGATCCGCAAAAAAAGCGGGGAGGAATTCCGGGAAGAGGAAGCGATCCGGAAGTCTACATGAAGGCGCTGGGGATGATCTGATGTCGATCGCCACCACCTTCACCCTTCGTTGCGATCGTTGCGGCACCGAACACAGCGTTGCCGATGACCGGGCACGCCCGGACGGCTGGGGCGGCATCGCGGCGCGGCGTCACGGTGGTGGCGCTCGCGTCGGCAGGACGGATGGATGATCTCTGCCCGTCCTGCATCACCGATTTCCTTGCATGGTTTGCCTGTGCGCCCGCCCCCACGACGCCGATCGTCGAGCCGGCCGCTCCGGCCCGCCCGATCTTCACGATCGAGGATCGGAGAAAGGCGGTCTGCTTGGTATCCGCCGGCCTCGATCCAGCCTGAAAGATCTTCGCCAGCATCTGCGCGACGATCCGACCGCCATCCCCGGACGACGAACTTCCCACGACGCTGACCGACCCGCTCGCCTTCCGGGCGCAGGCGATAGTCGGGTGGGTCGTGCGACGCCTCAATCTCGAAGAACCCGCGTGATGTACGCCACCCTCACCCAAAGCCTGCGCGCGCTGGAGGTGGTCCGCGGCGGCGATGTCCCGCCGCGCCGCCCCCTGACCCTGCGCGAGGCCCACGCCCGCGCCGCCATCATGACCCATGCGATCGGCGTGACCCTGCAACTCGCGGCGGCCGTCAAAGCGGCGGCTGCCGGCGACCCTGCCCCGCCCTCGCGGCGCGGCGGCGCTCCGACTGACGAAGTGAGGTGCAACCTTGATCCTTTCGCGCGCGCAGCTCAAATCACGATCGATCGCCGCATTCAGGAAGAGCGCGCGATCGCCCTCGATCCTCCGTTCGGGGAGCCGGATTGGTCGCACTACATCTCTGATTATTCATTCGTCCCGAACTGCATCGCGATGCGGGCGGACGGTTCTGTCGCGCCGTGGCGCTGGCGGATGAGATCGACTGGTCGACCGCCGTTGCTGTGCGCTTCGAAACGCCACGGGGCGATCGGATCGACCCCCGCGATAACGAAAATTACAACGACCTCGACTGGGGTGACTACGAATGACCCGCGTCAAATCGACCGATCGGACGATCGCGGCCGGATGTTCCGTCTGCCACGGACAAGCCGCGCATTGGACGGGCCTGAACGCCTGGGCTCGCGGCCCAGCACCACGACAGGACCGGTCACCGCACACGGTGCAATATCGCCCTGTCCATCACCTATGGCCACGAACTGGTGGACCATCGCCAGATCGATATCGAGGACGCGATCAGGGATGCCGCCCATGGGTAGGGGGTCGCGGAAGCCTTCGATCCCCACGCCCGTCTGCAAAACAAGGCGGGATTTGCGTATATCTGGGCACATCGGCGGCGCGACCTACGACGCTTGGTGCGCAAGGGCTGGTCCCTGGTCCGGTGCGCGGCACGAACCGCTACGATGTTCGCGCACACGATCTGCTGCTCGATCGCCATGCCGGCCTGATGAAGGCGAGCCGAACCCTGTCCCCTGGAACAATGGGAGGCGGAAAATGCGCGCGCCTCTTAAGGGTGTTTTCAAGTCGGTCAAAAAGCTCGCGAACGGTTCGCGCGACGCGACCTATTATTATTTGCGCGGATCGGGCGCTCTGAACCCGCTGGAGGGTGACGAGGATCAGCCATTCGCGCCCGGCACACCGGCGTTCATGCGCTCCCTATTATGCGGCGATCGACGCACCGCGTCGTGCACGCACGGCAGGAACGCTGCAATCCGTCATCGACGCCTATGAGAAGAGCCCGCAATTCACAAAGCTCGCGCCTCGCACACAGCGGGACTATGGCACCGCGCTGCTCAAGATCTCGGATAAGTTCGGCACGCACCCCGGTGGTCGAGGATCCGAAGATCCGCATACGTTTCCTAGAGTGGCGCGATGAGATGGCCAAGTCTTCGCCCGCCGGGCGGACGCCGTTCTCGGCGTCTTGCGCATCGTCCTGAGGTGGGGCCGCGATCAGGGGTCACCTGATCCACAACCACGCGACCCGTCCAAAGAAGGTCTACCGCGCCGATCGCGCCGATAAGCTCTGGCTCCCGGCGGATATCGAAGCACTGCGCGCGGTGGCGTCTCCGGAAATCCGGTTAGCCTTCGAGCTGGCCTGGGGACGGGACAGCGCAAGGGGACCTGTTGGCGCTGACTTGGTCATCCTATGACGGGCAGCGGATCCAGCTCCGCCGGGGCGAAGCGAAAGCGCTTCGTCGACATGCCTGTCACGCGGTCCCTGAAAGCGCTGCTCGATGCACAACCGCGCACCGCCGCCACGATCCTGACCCGAAACGGCAAACCGTGGGGCTCGGTCAGCTTCGACCACCGCTGGCGGGAAACCGTGCTGCAGGCCGGTCGCAACGGTCTCCACTTTCATGATCTGCGCGGCACCGCCTGCAGTCTGGCACAGGCCGGCGCTACGCCGTCGGAAATCGCCGCGATGCTCGGCTGGACCGTCTCCACGGTCGCCAGAATGCTCGATCTCTACGGGCGATGACCGCCTCACTGGTGATTCTGCGGTCGCCAAACTCGAAGCCCGCACAACCAAATTGCAGAAGACGGTGCAGAACGCTGCGCCAGCCTCACCAAATGAGGGAAAATTCGTGAAAAATGCAATGAAATCAATGGCTGGGGCGGATCATCCTCATAAGGATCTCCCCTTCCGCCAAGTCACTGAGTTCCAACGCATTCACGGAAACGCCAATGACGAGTGGTTACACTCACTGGCGTCACTTACCGGTATCATACACACTTGGCAAATCTTCCGTCCTCAAGGTCGCTCAGCGCTCCACTGGTGAGCAGCGCGTGCAGCGACTTCCGGTGGCAGTTGCCATCTGGTACATCCTCTGATGCCGGACTATGTTGCGGTACACCGATCCTTGACGATCCTCATCCCGGGCAATCGACAGGTCATAACGTCGGCCAGCGAACCTGAGGATATGAATTCCGGTGGTTAGCGCCGCTGCTCATCCCACAACGCCTGCCAGATGACGTCTCCCCGGTCGGTCTGCGAAAACGCGCTTCGCGAAATGCGGTGCAGAGAATGCTGATCAGCAGCGCTGCCGTCAGAAGCGTTAGCAGGCTTGGTCGCACCCGCGATATTTGCTCTCGCAATGCGCGATAGGCCGAACGGCTCTCAAATGCCCTGATCGCGCAAATCGCTCTTGGCTGGTCGACCATCGAGACCGTGGTGCGAATGTGGGCACCGAGATCGTCGTGTGGGGTCGTGAGCGCATTCACCGAGGATCGGGCTCGTCCCGCCGCATCCTCCAGCAACGACGCGGCACGCGCGGTGCCACGCATATTTTCCAAGAGCGCCGGGCTATGATCCTCCAGCCAGTCGGCGATCGACGACTTGATGCCTGCCAATGACGGTGCTGGTACAAGGCGATGACGAAGGATCGTCTGATAGGGGCTGAATACCTGCGATCTCGTCCAACGACGCCAGCCACCCGATCATCGGGCTCTTCATCAGGCCAGATCTGATACCAGAGCACGCGCCACTGGAGTCTGGGACGTCCTCCAGCCCGGCGTTGAGCAGCCGAAGGGGCTCGGGCGAGCAGCATGGCATCTCCTGCCGATGCCTCCAGCAAAGGCCGAGCTCAGGCGGCGCTTGTCCTTGTAAATGCATGTTGGAGCCGCTCACCGAGCCGGGGCACCTGTAATACACCGCCCTCTGGATCGTGGCGCATGTTCGTCGCACCGGCACCGGCCCGAAGCCCCCGACGCGGCTCGGTGAAACGCAGATAACCCAGCCCGGGCCTCCCTTCTTGCGGTAATGGGCCTCAGCCCGGCTATCTTCGCTCCATTCAGCTAGCTTGACGAGAACGCGGTAGCGTTCGGGCGCCGTTCGATCCACGGCGCAAGTTCACCTTCGATCTCGACGAAATCCTTCCGCCCCGGCATTTACGCTCAGCAGGATCGGATAGCCGCTCGGGACCTCCGACACAGCCGTGAGGAGGTTGGCGACGACATCCCGTCCGCGACGTCGACGAACATACTCTTCGGGTTCGAGCGTCCCCTTCAGATAGCCACGAGTCGTTCCCAGCTCGATTACCCGGATCCTTGTCCGGACCCGTCCGCCAGGGCGACGATACAGCCGACGAGCGTATCCACACCGGCTCCACCAGTGTCGCCGGTCACGACGAAAGCGTCGCAGTGATGCTGTCGATTAGCAGGGTTGGATGCCGCCGCCGTCACGGGCAGTCGGGGGCGGTCGTGAATGACCACCGCGCGCGGCGTCGCGATGACGAGATCGGTCTTTTCGTTGCTCATTGTCAGATCCTCAATAGTCGTCGTCGTCGATGCCGAGCATGTCCGCACCGGAAATCCGGGAAGCTGGATTTCCCCGATGGCGATGCGACAGGCTGCGGGGCTTCCCGCTCGGGCGGCAGGTCGAACAGTTCCCAAATGAGCTCGGTCACCTGCGGTTGCCGGAGCAGATTCGCGGCACGCGAAAGCGGCAATTCGACCGTCAGGTTGAGGGAACATCGATGCCGCGCGACTGCGCCAGCCAGCGCACGTCCGCCTATCGCGCACCAGCAAGGCAAGGTCTCGAATCTCTTCCTGATGCTGAAGCTCGGAGCGCGTCGCCAGTCTTCGGCCAGCAGGATCGTCTGCCCGGGACGCCTGACCCGACTTCTCTCCGTCCGTGTTGGCCAAGCGATCCGCGCAGGCGCGTCGCATGCTGAAGTCGTGGCCGATCCTGTTCATCCGCGTCTCCCAGCGGTCCTGATCGGTGCCGTGGAGATACTCCAGCATCTGGCGAGCGATGGATTCATGCGTCTCGATGGGCGCATCATCGACAGGCGAGACGGCCGGGAGCAGGATAATCCCATGCGCGCTCCTCCGCCGCTTCGCCGCCGCCGAGGCCTCGACCAGAGACTGAAGGTCCTGCTGAAAAGGCTTTTCCTCGACATGATTAACTGTGCGCTCTGCACCGCCCGAACGCCGTCCGATCGCTGTCGCTCCGCGGCCTCGACAACGCCCCTGCGAGCGTCGGCGAAATCTGTAGCCGGTCGGCCTGCTGCTGCCTCGAACGCGCGCTTCGCGGCGATATCGGACTCCGAAATTCGGCCGGCAGCCAGCAGCAGCGCCAACTCTTCGTCCGGGTCAGCCCCTCTACGGCGAGTTCGGATGGCCGGCCCGGAATGCGGCCATCCCGCCGTCCTGATCTTGGGTGCCGCGGGTCGCGCAGCTTTTCCCGGACGAAGGTGGCGACGAACGAGAGGTCGTCCCCAGACGACGGGCGAGTTGCACAGCGGGCAACCGGCGTCTTCCAACGCCTTCAGCACCGCACTGTCCTTCTTGGTCAGTTTCGGCTTCGCCTTCACCTCGGCGCGCTCTTTTTCGGATCTCATCGATCTGGGTGCCGAAATCAGCGCCTCAAACACGACCTTTACCATATTGCCCAAGGCCGGCCGGTGCTCGAGCAGCAGCTTATTCAGCGCCTTGGTCCGGGTCCGCTTCCTCCTGCGCGAGGGACGCCTTGCGCCCCGTGGATTTTGCAGGGTCTGCTTGGCGGCCTTCGCCTTCCGTTTGGCCTCGGCCTTCTCTTGGGGTGTCAGATGAGCAAGGCGATCCGCGGAGGCTTCCGCGATGACGCTGGTAAGCTCCTCCCGCTGGCGAGCCGCTTCCACGATCCCCGCAAGGACGCCGCTGAGTGCGTCGTCTTCAATAATCTTCAAATCGACGCGGCCCCACCTGAAAAAAGGCAAACAAACCATGTTGTGGGATTCGAAGTGGAATCGCGCAAAAATTTTTCACAAGCAGCATGGAAAAGCGCCGATCATCGGCGCGTGAATCAATCGCAACGTTCGCGAAGATTGATCACGAAAGTCCTTCGCCAAGGCGATCATCGTCCGAACCACTCCGCGAAGGACTGTCGCCACAGCTCCTTCGCCCACTCAAACAGGCGCAATACCGACAATTTGACGCACCTGACGGCGCGACAAAATTGTATGCGGCGTCGCCTTCGGCGCCGCAGATCGGCGCTGACGCCCGAGGTGGCATCGCTTAACCAGCGCTAACGCAGGGTCGCGGCTTCGCCGCCTCGGGCGGGGCGTGGCGCCCTACGCTTTGCGATAGTCCTGAAGGACAAACGGATTGAGGAACTGCCGCCCGCGCATCAGGTCGCGTCCGACGATGGAAGGCCAGCCTCATCGCAGACGGCGTCAGCGTGCGGTGATGATGGCGATCTGCTGGTCGATGACGGCGTCGGCAGCCTCGCGGGTCAGCAGGAAGGCGTCAGCCGCATCAAGACAGAGTGCCAATCGGCTGTCGCGACGTGCGCCGTGGATCAGCATCGCTGGCCCGCCTCGCCCGCCCGCGCGGGCCTGAGGCAAATGTCATAGGCGGGTGTCAGCGACAGCGACGCGCCGTCCCAGAACGCAACATGATTGCGCGCATGGTCGTCGGGTGCCACCACAAGATATTGAAGACCAGCCAGCCGAACAGCTCGCGCAACATCTCGCGCAGCGCGGCGAAACGTGGCGGATGATCTCGGCAAGCACCTCGCCAGCTGGCGTAACGCGCCATCATCTCGTCGAGGTCAAGCAGCGTCAGCGCCGATACCATCGCCCGGCGCGACCAGTCCGCGCCGACGGCCACACGATCGAAGCGCTCGACCAGCAGCACGTCCTTGCCCTGCGCCTGCACCAGCCGTACCGGCGCGACGTCCAGCCCAGCCTCGGCGGCGAGCCGCATCGCCTTCCGCCTTCACGACATTATGGACATCGCCAGCAGCAGGGAATTTGGCGACATATTTCGTCGTTCCGTCTGTCAGCAACGCCGCCCAGGTCGTATTCCGCCCAGCGAACTGCCGCCCGATGCAGTGCGGGTCGAGTTCAGGCGTCAGCGGGATGCCGGCTTCGACCCGCTCGGCCGACTGGATCAGCTCATCCAGCGTCGCGCCGATCGCAGCGCGCAGGACGTAGCTCATCGCCGAGGCTGAAATCGAAAGCGCGCCGATCCGATCGGACCCGGACTCGAGCAGATAACTGATTTCGTCAATGCGATCGACGTCGCCATCCCGCGCCTGCCGCCCCATCAGACGATTGAGAATGACCCGCCGTCCCGGGCATCCGGTGCAGCATCGCGCAGGCTGCTTGGCATCAACAGCCCGGCAAGGGCGTGATCGCGCCCGCGACGAGCGGCATTCCGGCAGGTACAGCGGGACCGCGTCCTCGCGCGCGAGAGATAGCTGCGGCGTAGTTGAACGACAGCCGCTGCCCGTCGCCAGAAGATACGGCCCGCCACGACCGGCTCGGTGTGTCACGGCAGCAGACCCAGACGAACGCCTGATCCGCCATCAAAAGTCGTCATCCACGGGAACCCGGCGGCTATGGACGGCGCAGGCAACAACGCGAGGCGATCGGCCGCGCGGTGCGCCTCTCGAGCCAGCTCCTTCTCATCGAGGCCGAACAGCGGCACCTGCAGAATAGCCGCCAGCTCAAACACGGTGCCGATCGCACAACCCGGCTCCCGCGCTCTACCCGCGCAAGCAGCGATCAGGATATTCCCGCGCGTTCGGCAAGGTCCGCTTGTGATATGCGCTGCTCCGTCCGCGCAGCGCAATAGCGTGGGCGGCCATCAGCAGGTGCATTTCGGCGTATCGCGACTGGACTACCATTCCGATAATTTAGCATCGAATGTGAATCATATCTACTAATATGACTCATATTTGATGCATCATTCATCGGCGAAGAAGTCCTCGTCCAGCCGCTTCACCGCGATGGTGCGGCTCACGCGAACGCCAACGCCATGTTCGATCATCAGCTCGGCGAGGCGCGCGCCGTCGATCAGGACCACGCGCTGCGGCAGATGGCGGACGAGAAGTCGATCGCGGGCGCGAAGAAGGAGGTGGTGACGAACACGCCCTTGGTCGCGCCGAAGCCGACCGGGCTGCCCACGAAGCCCTGCGTCCGGCCGCCCGACGCCGACATGCGGGGCATAGCGCTCGCACGGATATAGATGCGGTCGAGACCGAGGCGGTCCTCGTCGATCACGCCGTCCACGCCGCCATCGCCGCTGCGCCCAGGCTCAGCGCGGCGCCCTCATGGCTGCCGCCATAGCCCATTACGACCAGCAGATCGACGATCGCGCGTTCGAAAAAGGCCGGGCTCTGCTCCAGCACGCGCTGGAGCAGCTCCGCCTTCAGCGCCGCATGGAGGACGCCCTGCGCGGGCGTCGATCTGCTCCTCAGGCGTGGCCGTCGCGGTGGCGGCAGCTTCGGCGACCGATGCCTCGGCCGGCGAAGCCTGCCCGTCCCGGCATAGAACTGCGCGAAGGCGGGATGGGTCTTCAGCGTCTCAACCGTGATCGCGCCGCCGGTTGGGTCGCGAGCAGCGCTCTTGCCCTCTTCGCTGGCGACGAAACGGCCGCGTGCGGGAGCTGTCGATCAGCCCCGCCTTTGGCCATATAGAATTTAGCCCAGTGGATGCGGTTGCAGCACGCGCTGGCGTCGCTGGGCAGCATCTCCTCGCGCTCCGCCTCGGTGAGGCCGAGCTGATCGGCGATCGCCGTCGCCGCATCAGGTACGCGCGTGACGCCTGTGGCGGCGAGGCGCAGCACCAGCAACATCAGCGCCTGATAGTCGGGAATGGCCATATGTTCCCTTCCGCTCAGCCCCGGTCTTGCGCCCGCCCGCGCTTCGGCTTGGCGCGGCGGCGCGTTCGGCGCGGATGCGGTCGAGCAGCACGCTCGCCGGTTCGTCATTCGGGTCCTGCGGCACCAGCTCGCCGCGAAACGCCTTGGCGAGGATCGCGGCTTCGAGCCGGTCGAGCAGCGCGCGCACGCGGGCGGCTTCGGCTTCAAGGCGATCGGCGCGGGCGAAGGCTGCGGTTATCAGGCACAATCTCTGGCTTCAGCTGCCGGCGGAACCGGCACCGGGAGCGCCATCACGCGACGCTTGCTGATCGACGCGAGGTTCGTCGTCTGCGTACCACGGTCGATGAAATAGGCCTGTCCAAACTCGTTGGCATAATGCGACACGAACTCGGGCAGAAATCCGGGTCCCTGAGGCGGACACGAAAGACGTGGTTCTGGTGGATGCAGCCCGGCACCTCCTCACGCCAGACCTTACGCCCCAGCTTATCGCGATCACCGCCCTCGTTCATGAGGATGTCGCCATCCTTGAGCAGAAAGGCGGTCGCGCTCTTCAGCCGTCACGGCGAGCCTCTTAATTTCGTTCAGCCGCAACCATCCTCGCTGTACGTTCGCGACGCGGAGGTAGGGAACTTCAACCAGCGTGACACCCGCCGGACGCTTCTTGCCGACCTGAATACCGCCTTTGAACGTCAGCGATGTCGGAGAGAGCGGACAGGTCCTCAATCCCTGCATCGAACTGCCTTCCCGCGCTCTCCAGTCAGTCGACAAATCGCCAGCAAACGCGCGGGCCAGTGTTGTTTGACGCAGTTTGGCCACGAGGGCACCGTTCTAACTCTGCCCGTGTGCGGGCGAGGCGGGCCTTCAGGGAATCCAGCTTCGCAACGATGCGATGTTGTTCGGCCCGCGGAGCAGATCAATCGTGAATGCTTACCGCAGGGAAATAAATAGTGGTGTGGGTAGACCCTTCGCCAAACCGGCAGATCTCATTCCCTTCCGCCAGTAGAGCTTGCAAAGATAGTCGGTTCGAGCGCCTCAGTGCAACTCAAGTCACGAAGTCTTGGCTTGTTGTCATCGGTGCGCCATCTTTACCACACATCCAGCAAAGCGGTACAGGACGGGCAGATTGTATCCTTCGGCAGAGCCGTGCAGCCGAATCTCGACACCAAGTGGCGGATCGTCTGATTTGTCTCGCCAGAATGACGCCACCGTGATGAGCGCCCTGCATCGCGGATGCCAATCCAGCCCTGTCGCCATCCCAGTATTCCGGTTGTGCCTGCTCGGGGTGTGGCCGGTCCCAAAGTCCGCCACGTCAGTAAGTGCGACCCTAGACCATCCCAAAGGAGTTGGATGCCCGGGATCATTGGCTGAAACAGCCGCTCGCCCCGAATGACGCGATCCGTTTGCCGCGCGACCGCTCATTATTCCGCCGCCTCAGCCACAATAGGCTCTTCCGTCTCGTCCCCCCAGTTCCGCGACCAGCGCCCGACTTCCTCCAGCGCGGCCATCAGATGGCCTTCGATCGCCGCCGCGATGTCCTCAGGCGTGTCGAGGCCGTCCTCGGCCTCGGCGCTGGTGTCCTGAGCCAGCCGATGTCGAGATTGTCGCCCCGCGCCTCGAGCGCGGCGCGGTCAGCGGCGAAGCGGCCGGTTTCGCCTTCGTCGGTGCGGCGCCGCGCGGCCACGCGGATCGGCGCCGAACGCCGTCACGAAGTCCTTGAAGTCCGCGCGCTTCAGCAGGTTAGTCTTGCCATAAGCGGGCGCGCCAGCGCGCATGTCGTAGATCCACACCGCACGGTCGCGTCCTCGGCCGGGTCGGCTTCGGCCGAGCGGGTGAAGAACAGGACGTTGGTCTTGACCCCCTGCGCATAGAAGATGCCGGTCGGCAGCCGCAGAATGGTGTACGGGTCACAGCGATGCATCAGCATCCGCCGCAACGCCTTGCCGCGCCCGTCGTCGAACAGGACATTGTCGGGTACCACCACCGCCGCCCGGCCGCCAGGGCGCCAGCGCGCGGATGATGTGCTCGACGAAGGGCAACTGATAGGACGAGACGCGGTCGGTGATGGTCAGGTCGTCGCGCGTCGGCGGCCCGCCCGCCGGGCCGAAAGGCGGGTTGCTCAGGATCAGGTCGGCGCGCTTGAACCGCGCCTCGCTGCCCCCCTGGGTGACAGGGTATCGCCGGGTCCAGATGATCGGGGTCGATCTTGTGGAGGTGCAGGTTCATCAGCAGCAGGCGGAGGGTGTCAGGGGACGTTCTCAACACCCCGGAACGCCTCGCGCAGCTGGAACGCCTGCTGGGGCGAAAGCTCGAAATAGTCGTCGGTCGACTTCGCGCATATGGCGGTCGGCAGCAATGAGGAATCCGCCGGTGCCCGCCGCCGGGTCTGGATCACCTCGCCGGGCTGGGGCTTCATCAGCTCGACCATCACGTCGATCAGGACGCGCGGGGTGAAATTGCCCGGCCCCGCGCGGTCTCCTCCGCCATCTTCTGGAGCAGGCCCTCATAGGCGTCGCCGAACGCATCACGCTCGGCGGAGAACCAGTGCAGCCGTCGATCGCGTCGATCAGGCGGCGCAGATTGGCGGGCTCGCGCACGATGGTCGACGCGTTCTGGAAGATGGCGACCACCGAGCGATCCGGCACCTTGGCGGGATCGCGGTCGATCAGCGCGCGCTTGTAGACGGTCAGCAGCTCTGCTTCGTTCGCCGCCTTCAGCCGCGACCAGCGATAGGCCTCAGGAATGCGGCTCTCGTCCTTCTGCTCGGACGCCATCTTCAGGAACAGCAGATAGGTCAGCTCGGTGACGTATTGCTGATAGGTGATGCCGTCCTTGCGGAGCATGGCGCAGAGCCGCCACAGCTTGTTCACCAGTTCGGCGGAGGGATTCACGTAATCGTCGTCCTTGTCGTCAATATGGGCGGATCAGGCCGCTGGTCGGTATCGCCACAACTATCCCAGATGGCGACGTTCAGGTCCATCAGCACATCGCGCAGGTGATGGTCGAATTCCCCGGTCGATCGCATCGTGACCCGCCATTTCTGGGCGAACAGCGGATCGGACAGGATCGCGGGGTCACCGACCGGCTGTTCCTTCAGCGCACGGCCGATGCGTTGCAGCCAGCGGCGCTGCGTCGGCGTCCAGTCGCGGCTCACCAGATACGCTCGACCCCGCTCTCGACGCGGATGGCGCCGGGCACTGGCGGATCGCCCAGCGCCGCCTGCCCGCACGAAACCGATGATATGCGCGGCGATATCGGCATTGCGGACGCGGCCATAGGCGGCGCGCAGATGGCTTTCGGAAAAGCCATGCTCGTCGAGCAGGACGGCGATCTCCTTCAACTCGGCGCGGGTCAGGTCGCGCGGCCGCTGCGTCGCGGCGATCGCGCGGGCACGACATTCATCTGGGACCGGACATAGGCCTCGAAGCTCTCGATATAATCGGCCGGGCTGGCATGATCGGGGAAGACATCCTCGACCCCGATCAGTTCGTCGTCGTGGCCGGAGATGAAGACGCCGGCATCGGTCCGCGCGCGGCCCCTGATCCGGATCTCGACCAGCAAAGGATGGCGCTCGAACAGCGCCAGCGCCTCGGCAGGCGTGGCATCACGCAGTCGGTCGGGTAAGGCGTCAGGCGAGCCCAGCAGCTGCTCGATCCGCTCTCGCGCCGAGGGGGCGAGCCGGGGCAGCCGTTGGCGCAGCTTCACCACGATCTGGCCGCGAACAAAGGCGCGGTCCTCCTCTTCGGTGGCGCGCGCCAGATCGCCGAGCAGCGTGGCAAAGCTCAGCGCCGGATCGACTACCACCGGCCGCATATCGGTCACGTCCTGAAGATGCGCGTAGAGGTCGACCGCGTCAAAGATGCGGAAATGGGTCTTGCCGATCTCGTCGCAGCGGCGCCGTCGCGCGGCCGATCATCTGGTCGTAGAGGATACGGCTGTTCACCCGCCGCACGAAGACCAAGTTGGTAATCGCAGGCACGTCGATGCCGGTGGTCAGTAGGTCGACAGTGACGACATATTTGGGGCGCGGATCGTTCTTGAACGCCTTAATCCGCTCCAGCGGGCGATCGACCGTACCGGTGATCTTCTCGACCAGCCCGCCGGGCAGAGCGCCATATTCTTCGGTCAGCGCCTTGGCGGTTCATCGACCGAAGTGTCGGCATGGTCGTTGCTGACCGCGAAGATCAACGTCTTGCCCGGCTGGTCGGGCGGGGCATTCCTGCGCCACCGCCTGCGCCACCGCGCGGTTGAACGGCTGGGTCAGCACCTTGCGGTTGAACTCAGCGACCTCGAAATCGGCCTGATCAGGAAGCGTCATCAGCTCGATCTCGCCGGTCTGGCGATCGACGATCTCGACCTCGTCGCCCGCATCGAAGCGGATGCCGGTCTGGCTTAGCGCGGTGGTGATCCGGCGCGGCGGGCGATGGTCGATCAGCCACCGTCGATCACCGCCTGCCGATAGCCATAGCGATGAACCGGCAGACCGAAGATCTGCGTCGTGTGCAGCGCCGGCGTCGCGGTCAGCGCCACCGTCGCGGCGTCGAAATAGTCGAGCACCCGGCGATAGGCGGACAGATAATCGTCAGATTGCGGAAGCCGAGATCCTCCTCGCGCAGCTCGGCATCCAGCGTGTAACCGCGGTGTGCCTCGTCCACGATGATCAGGTCGCCAGTTGCCGGGCGTCGGCCGCGTCGCATCAGGATCGTCGAATGAGGCGCCGGATCATCGCCTGCACGGTCGCGACCTGCACGCGGTCAACCGCCTCAGGCAGCTTCTTCTCCAGATCGGCGACGTTGAAGACATCACTGAATTTGAGGAAGCCGCTGGTGTCGGTCACGCTCATGGCGTCGAGAGTCTGGCGACCTAGCGCGCTGCGATCGACCGGGAACAGGATGCGGCGGAAGCGATTGGCGCGCAGCAACTCGTACATTAGCGCGATGGCGAGACGGGTCTTGCCGGTCCCGGTCGCCATTGCCACCAGCATGTCCCGCCGCCCGGCGCGGATCGCGTTCTCGACCGCCGCAATGGCATCGCGCTGATAGGGACAGGCCGGCGACGCCCAGTTCCTGCTCGGCGACATGCGCACCGGCCGGGACGATCGCCTGCGCCAGTCGCTCTTCCAGATCGCGCGGGCTGAACCATTTCCGGCAGAGCACGCGGCACCGCGCCCGGCGTGCGGGCGTCCCAGAACCAGATGCCCGATTTTGTCGCCAGCTGCTTCCACATAGGCGCGGCCGTTGGTCGCAAACAGGAACAGCAGCTGGTAACGATGCTCGCCGTCCATCCGGGGGCTGCCGACCGGATATTCATCCGGGGTTAGGATGATGTCACAGGCATAGCGCTTCGCCTGCCCCAGCATCCCGGGCACGTCGGTCTTGCGCTTCTTCGCCTCGACCACGCCGACGCAGCGTCCGTCGATGAACAGTGCGTAGTCGACATGCCCCTTCTTGGCGGGCCATTCGGCGATCGCCATCGCCTCGCCATAGGCCGGTCGCGTGCCTTTGGCGTGTTTCAGCGTCTCGCTGTCGACCGTCAGCCCGCCGCGCTCAACTTGGCGTCGATGAGCACGCGGGTGGCGTCCTCGTCCAGCTCGACCTTCTCCGCCGCGCGCGCCCGCCACAGACAACATCTGCATGTCCTGCGCGGGCGCCGCTTTGGGCCTCGGCACGCACCGCGGCCAGCTCCTCGCGAGCCTTCGCCAGAGCGGCTTCCGTCTCAGCCGCATAGTTCTCCCAGAAGGCGCGTTGCCGCTGCTGTTCGTCGATCGACGCCGCCAGCCGTTCGCGTTCCGTCTCAGCGTCTTGCGCACGCAGACGCGCCTGCGCCTCCGCATCATGGCTGTCGGCCACCGTCTTGCGCAATGTCGCCAGCTGTTCGCGCAAGGCCGCATCGGCGTCAGCAGGGAGCGACCGGCGGGACGAAGGGGCCGGGATCGAACGACGGCGTGTTCCGGTACGTGCGATGGTACCAGACCCCCCGATCGCGCTCGCGAACTTCAGCGCGTTGAGTGCATCGGCCGCGGAACCACGATCCTCGTGCGCAGCGTTGTTGCCCCAGCGCGATCTGGAACAGCAGGTCGGCGACCTGCTGCAGGGAAGATCCCGCGCGCTCTGCCCTCGCGCAGCACCTCGTCGAACGTCGCCGAAGCCGAAGACGTCAAACCATGTCGTGCAACGACCTGCTTTGCCAAGGCCTCGCCAAACAGGCGCAGCTTCAGCAACGCCGCCGGGGGTCGGAACGGAAATAGCTCTCGGCCAACGCGCCGAGCCGCGCCAACGGCTGTCGCGCACCGCCAGAAATCGAAATTACCGCCCTGCTGCATCTCCACATCCGCTTGTTAGCACGAGCGACATCGTCCTCAAGCACCGGAAAGGATTCGTTGTGACCGATTAGGAGATGGCATGATTATGCCGGGCAATGGTTCCGCTCCTACAGCAACGAGTATTGGCGATTCGATACCGCCGGGCTGACGAGCCGCTCGATCGCGAGCATCAACGACCTGCCGATTGCCGCATCCGAGCGTCTGTTCCACTGACCATCCGGCGTCCGGCCTGCCGACCTTCCGGGCCTGAGCGACCTCGGACTGTAGAAGACAGGGTCAGCGGTTGAGCCGCCCTGTCTCTGCCATCACGCTTGCTCAAACATCCTGCGGGGCAATCCTGCTCACATGGTGATGTACCATTTGCCATCGACCCGGCGGACCTTGTCGGTGTCGGTCTGTCGATCCGTCGCCGAAGCGAGTGACGGTGGTCACCACGGCGTGATCGGCGTCGGTCTGGTCGACCTTCTCGACCGTGACCGACGTCACCCCGCCCTTCGCCTTGGCCTTCTTGGCCTTGTCACGGGCATGGGCGTGATGAAGATGCCGGCGTGTGGCCTTGATCTCGGGTCGATGCGCTCAAGTGCTTCGGCGGCCTGACCCCGACCGGCCGCCTCCGTCGCAGCTCGAACAGCATCACGGACCACGGCCGCAGGCGGTCAGCGCCAGAAGTGCGGCGGCTGCGACAAGCGGACGGATGTGCATCGTGCGTGTTCCTTCGCGATCGCGCCCATCACAGCGTCGGCTACGGCATGGGCGGCGATGAAGCCATCGGCGGCCTGTTCGACCAGCTTGCCCGGCTGCTGGCGCGTTCCGTCCGGCTGCGCGATCTCGACGGTCCCGCCACGTGGGCCGAGGCTCGCGCTGGCCGGAAGCCATTCCCGACGCCGCTAACGCGCCGTGAATGTGTCACCCGTCTGCTCTTCCCGCAGGCGCCCCCACTTCTCGACCAGCATCCGGCGCCAGTCCGCTGCCGCCGTACCCTGCGGCGCGAGGTACACGATCGACGACAGGTGCGCCCCGTCCGGCCAGACCAGCGTTTTCAGCATGTAGCGCCCTCCGGCATCGTCGACGAGTGTCGCTTCGCCGGACACCCCGCATGGTCGGCACGCCGGCGGCACCGCCGCGCACGTTGATGGCGCTGCGCACCTGCGTTTCGAAATCGACATAGCGAAGTACGCGTTTGGTGGTGAAGCCACGCTCCACGGCAACCGCCTCAGCTTCCGCCTCGCTCATGCCCGGCGAAAGCCGCCCAGTCATAGGTCGCCGGGTCACTCGTCGCGGTGCGATCCGCAGGCTTGGTCAGCCCGACAATCACCGGCGTTGCGGGCGAGGTAATCGATGGCTGCTTGGGTCCGCTGCCCAGCAGGCTCGGGACCTTGTCGAGTAACTTCGTGATCGGTGCCCGCTGCGCAGCAGCCGGCATGGCGGCCAGCCCGATGACGAGCGCGATGGTCAAACGCATGTATGTCTCCCTATAATATCGGTCGGGATCAGAAGCCGGTGTGCCAGCCGACGAGCGCGGCGACGGAGCCGTCGGTGACATCGTGCATGACGCCGAAGCGCAGCGGCATGGCGGTGCGGGGTGACGTATCCGGCGGTCAGCTGGGCGCGGCGGGCTCCGGCAAGGCGCGGGTGACGCTGTACATCACCGAGCGGCTGGCAAGGTCGTAGCCGGTGCCCAGCGTCAGCTCCGCCGCGCCCGCCTCGATGGCGAGCGGCTGCGCGATCCCCAGCGTCAAGAGGCCGCCGGGCACCGCGCCGGTTGCCTGCACGCCGATCCGGCTGCCGAGGATCAGGGTGGCGCCGGTGACGAGCGACGCGGCGTCGATCTTCAACCAGGTGACGCCCAGCGAGCCATAGCCTCCAGCGACCAGCCATCGCTCACGCCGATCCGGTGGTGCACCTCGACCATGATGGTGCGGGCACCGCGTCCCAGCCACAGCGCACCGCTGCCGGTCGGCATGCCCATCAGCGTGCCGTTCTCGTCGATGAACGACGCGCGCAGATCGAGGTCGCCGCGGCTCCAGCCCAGCGTCATCGCCTGCGCGGCGCTGCCACTGGTTCGCCCCGCCGCCATGGTCAGCCCGGCCGCCCGCCACCGACCACCGGTCGACGCCGACGCTGGTTCCGGCCTGCGGGACATAGGCGAGCACGCCATCGGCAAAGGGCGCCAGCCCCATCACGTCCGCACGGAGCATGTCGGCGCCGTTCCACGCCGCATGCACCCCAGTCGTCCGTCGGTATAGCCGAACGTCCCCCGCCGTCGCCGCGGCACGGACCTGATCCTGTCAGGGGCCGAAGCGGACGCTGGTGTAACCCATGGTGCCGCTGAACCCGCCGAGCGAGAGGCTCGCCTGTCGCCCCATCTGCTGGACGCGCCGCTCGATCCGGCGGTCGGCCATGACCTGCGGCTGGACGACGAGCGCGGCGATCGAACCCGCGAAGTCGCGACCAAAGGCGTCGAGCACCGTCACGCGACAATGCCGTCTGGATCGCAGGGTACCGACTGCCCCCGGCACCACCATCACCGATGTGGCGAGACTGGTCTGCGTCGATCCGTTCGACAGCGTGGATTGACCGGCGCCAGTGCCGCCCGGAAGTCGACCAGCCCCATGCCGAACACCTCGTCCGGCCCCTGGCGCACCGATGTCCCCGGCGGTCTGGAGGATCATCACGTCGCCCGCCTGCTGGCCGGACAGTTGCGGCCATTTCGACAGGATGTCGGCGGCGAGCGCCGCCACCACGGGCGCCGCCGAGCTGGTGCCGGAGAAGACACCGACCGTCCCGTCGACCATCGTCGTGACATTGGAGCCGACCGCGACGACCGTGCGGTCCTTCATCGTCCCGGCTTTATTGGAATAGGTCTCGATCGCGCGCCGCCGTTCAGCGCCGGGCTGAGCCCGCCGACGAACAGCACCGCCTTTGCGATTGTCGGCGGTGATCCACTGCGCATTGTGGGGTCAGCGCCACCGAAGTTGCCGGCAGAGTTGACCAGCAGGCCACCGGTCCCTGCCAGCCGCTCGGTCGCGGAGGTCCAGCCCGCACTGCCCCCGACCAACGAGCTGCTGACGATCTTGATGCCCTGGTCCGCCGCGTAGCGGATCGCCTCATCGGTGTGCGACAGGATCTCGCCTTGCGTCTTCTCGTCCCAGTCGGCGACCCGCAGCGCGACGATCGTAGCAGACGGGGCGTAGCCGACCGCGCCGCCACCGTTAACCCGGGCAGCGATGATGTTGGCGACCGCTGTGCCGTGGTCCGACGCTGCACTGCCCAGCTCGTTTCGCTTGGTCCGGTGCCGTCGGCGGCCACGACATAGCCAGAAGTCCTTGGACAGCGTCTGGTCGATGCGGCCGTCGAGCTCGCCGTTCACGTTCACCACGCCGTCGTCGACCACCGCGACGGTGACGCCCCTGACCGATGTGCCCGCTGTCGAGCGCGTAGAGCGCGTTCATGAACTCGTTGGCGCCGTAGTTGCGGCGGAACTCCGGCGTGTCGTTAACCGAGCGGATCGGCTGGCGGTCCGATGGCGTGATGACATAGCCCGCAGGCGGCGGCACCGGGGCCGAATAGACCGGCGGCGTCGGGGTCGGTGTTGGCGTGGGAGCCAGCGTCGGCGTCGGCGTTGGCGACGGTGTCGGCGTGGGTGACGGCGTGGGCGTGGGCGTGGGGCTCGGCGACGGCGTTGGCGACGGTGTCGGACTTGGCGAAGGCGTCGGTGCGGGCGTCGGTGATGGGCTGGGCGTGGGCGTCGCGCCGCTGGTCGGCGGTGGTGTCGCCACGCTGCCCGCACTGCTGATCCCGCCGCCGCCACCGCAGGCGGCGATCGTCAACGCCAGCACGCTGCCGATGCTGCCCTGATCCCCGTATTCCAACCATCGTTATCCCCGATGAGGGATGCACGCCAGCCAGCCGGCGGCACCCCGTGAAATGGCGGGGTGCCGGCCCTCTGGAGACCGGATGTTCGAAACCAGCACTGAAACTGGCGCGGGCGCCTTTTAGCCGGGGTGGCTGGACATACGCGTCCGCCACCCGGTCACAAAGAGCTCTGCGACCGTGTTTGGTCTTGCGACCGGCTTTCCAGTGCAGGGGTTTCGACGCCCCGGTTCGCAGACAAAGTTCTGCGAACCGCCTCAGGCTATAGTCAATCGCAACGGATTGCGACAGCCGGAAGGGCACAACCATGCCACTGGCCGGGAAAAGGGCGCCGGTGGCGCTGATCCTAACGGACCGATGATGCGAAGGTTCTGAAGGAAGGAAAACAGGGTCGGCATCCGCCGGCTCGGCCCTTGGTCGGAATTTTCGTCGTCGACCGGTCCTGCCGGTCATCCCCATCCGCGTCCTTGCCCCAGCCGCTTCGCGCGGCGTGGGCCGAGGGCGTGTGCTGGAGCTCATCGCCTATGCTTCCCACCTATCATCACCGCGCTGAGCGTCGCCCGGCTCGACGTCGGCCATCACGTCAGTCTCGACCGCCAAATCCCCATCGGTGCCGCCATTCTGACCGCTGAACTGCGTGGAGCGAGGGTTCGCCCCTTACTTTCGCAAGCTGCGTCCTCCAGCCTTCCGATCCCGCCGAATGGCTCCTGACGTAGCTCGACGAACAGCTGCTACGTGAAGGAGCGACGATCGCCGGATATCGCACGGACGACGACGCTACGCTTTTGGACCACCTGCCCGGTGCGGAATGGTCGCCTTGCATCCGGGCGCTCGCGGGATGCGGCCAGCAATATGCCCTCAACCTGACCGCCAGCCGTGACGGCGAACCGCTGACCTTCGCGCAGGCCTGCTCGAACATAGGCATCCCCTCTGCGCGCCCGTCGATCCGGCGCGCCGCTTCGCGGCTTTGGCTGCGTTCCAACGTCAGTGCGATCGTGCGGGACGTGCAAGTCGATGCGATCGCGGTCTTCCGCCTCGTCATACGGCGCCTCGCCGCGCTAGAATCCGGTCGGCCGCAGCATCGCCGCCGTCCTTAGCGACCGCCTCGCCGCACGGCTCGGCGAGACCGACCACCCGCCGCGCAGGCGCATGTCGCCGGACCTGCTGTCCGCCGCCGACTGATCGAACCAGCCGCCATGCGGCCATTTTTCAGAAGCACTCCATGTCTTTGATCGACCTCTCGATCGAGGAGCGCAGCTTCGCGCCCACCTCAATCGCGCTTGCCGTACGTACAATCGGCGCTTGTCCGCCGCCCGCCACCAGCCGGATGCCCGGATCCTCACGGGGGATCGGCATCCTCACCGTCACGCGGGATGATCGCGGTGGCCACCGGTTCACCACCGATGCTCGCTGTCTCGGCGAAAACGATACCGTCGCCCACCTGCTCGATTGGCTGGAGCCGCACGTCGCATCGTCCCATGCCGTGGTCAGCTGGGACAATTTCAGCGCCGTCCCGCGCCGGCTGCTCGCGCTGGCCGATCAGGCGCGGCACCCTGAGATCATCGCGACCGCAGCCGACACCGCGGGACGTTGGCGCGCCTACCACTCGGCCATACGTGGCATCTTCGACAAGCACGCGCCCACCTCATGCCCTGCGTGTGCCCGCCGCAGACGCCGGTCGATGAATGCGAGGCAGCTATGCCGGCGTCCTGCTGCCGAACCCAGCAGACACAGCCGTCGAACTGGTCAATGAGGCGTCGCCGGATGGCGTGCTGGGCACGACTATTCGGCGACTTCGACGACGCCGACCACCCCACACAAGCCGCGCTGGGCGCTGGACCGCTGGCGCGCCGATCAGCCCGCCACCGCTGACCTTCCCCCCAAACCAACATGCGGGCGCGCGAGCGCCCGCCGGAAAAACCCACCATGCACCACGACCTGACCTCGCTCTGGAAGGCGATAAGCCCCGCTTCGTCGTCGTCCTCGATGCCGAACTCGGCTATGACCACGAAGCGCACGCCCGCTATCAGTCTGCCGAACGTTTCCTCGCCGCCGATGCCGCGCACCTGTCGCCGCGCGAACTGCGCACCGACCCGCGCGTGACGCCGCTGGCCGTGCCACCGGATCACGACGCTGAGTTGGCTGGTGATGACTGGAGGGCGAAGACGGCCTGCGCCCGGTGCGGCTGGAAACGCGCGGTCTGCCGGAACAGGATGAAGCCGCTGTCCTGAAAGCGTTTTTTCGCCGACATGGAACAGCTTGGCCATGTCCAGCTCGTGACTGGGGTGGATTCCACTCCGACCTGCCGCAAATCCTGATCGGGGCGATGGACGCCGGACTGCGGCTACCGTCGTCCCTAACCGGCCTGTTGTCGCCGTGGCGGCGAGCGACGCATCGGGCCATCTCGATCTCTGCAGCGAAATGTGCGGCGGGGCGGCGCCGCGCACCTTGCAGAGGTCGCCGCCCGCCTCGGCATGCCAGTCAAACTCACCTGTCGGCCGAACCTCGTCTCTCAACTGATGCAGCAGGGTAAATGGTCAGCCGTCCGCTCGGTCGCCGAGGGGACGACGCTGACCACTGCAGCACGCTGCTGATGCGCTGGCGTCACCTCTCCGGCGGCACCGTTTCCGTCCTCGGAGGCAATGCGGCGACTGACCGGCTTCGTCACCGAGCACTGCGGCCACCGCCCCTACGCTGCCGATTGGCGGCGGTACGCCGACGGCCTGCTTGGCGCGTCCTACGCGGGCGGAAGCCCGCAAACTGGAAACCACAGGGCCTCGGCCTGCAACTGAGCCGTGATGATGGCCTCTTCGAAGGGCGGAAAAGATAGAAGGATCAACGATATGAGCGTCATCAGATCGATGGACACGATGCAGGCTGGACCGCCGGCCTGCGCACGGCGATGGGCTATCCGCAATATGCGCCCATCGGCAATCCGATCGCCTATGCCTCGGGCGGGCGCAGAACTTCGCCGAGGCGCTCCCGGATCGCCGCCATCGTCGAACAGACCAACCGCGACTTCGTCCTCGTCGCATTCGACCTGCCCATCGCCAACGGGCCGGTCGGCATCTCGCTCGCCACCCGCGGCAACATCCTTGTCGACTGGCACGCCGATGTACAGCCCTACCTCGCCAGCGATGACGGGATCATCGAACTGCTCAGCGACACGCACCGCTGGTCGGTCGGGCCACGCGCCATCCTGACCGCGTCGCCCTGCCGTCCCGCAGCCGCATCAAGCGCGGCATCGAACGCGCGCACCGGCGCTGGCGGGAAGCCGCGGATCAGATGCGCGGCATCAGGTGCCCGGATCGGTCTTCATCCCGCTGGCGGCAATTACGCCGACGGCATACCGACGGAGGTGGTGCGGGCGGCGGCGTGAGACTTCATCAGCCTCGCCGGTGCGTAAAGTGTGCGTACCATCAACGCTGACCGGACTGTTACATCGCTGGCGGTCGATTGGACGACCGCGTTCAATCGACCGCCAGCCAGTCCGCTTCCGACCAGATCGCGACGTTCGCCGGTTGAGCTATCAGCGGCAGCTTGTGCAAAGAGCTGCCGTTTCACCTGCGATTATCGTAGCGAATATCGAGATCGGAATGGCGATGGCGGCGTCCGTGACCGCGACCGCGACCGCGACCGCGTGATACTGCCATGCCCAAACTGAAACGCCGCACCCTTGACATTACGAGTGGTAAGCATATCTTACCATCCGTAAGAGACGGAGAGTCGCGATGGATGCTAACATTATCAAGGCCAAGCTGATCGAAGTGCTGCAGACCGTGCAGACGCTGAGCGGCGAAGACTGCCCCACGATCGACGGGGCACGAAGCCTGCCGAAGCCTTGCCGAAGTTCACCAGCAAGGTCTGGCCGGTCGCTGCCGGCATGCTCGGCATCGCGCTGGGCAAGTCCATCCCGTGCGAAGCGAACATCTTTGTCGATGACGACACTAAAGTGCCGCTCGCGATCAACCAGACCGTCGCGCTCGTTCTCAAGATCCTCAGCGCAGGACGCCAAGGAAGCCGAAGAGGCCGTGGCGGGATGACCGACGCACCTTCGGATAAGACTGCGACACTTCCGACGCGCCTTCGTGCCGCGCGTGAGGCTGCCGGCCTCTCGCAAGGTCAGGTCGCCAAGCTGATGAACATGCACCGCCCCACAATTTCCGAAATGGAAGCCGGCAATCGTCGGATCACCGCCGACGAACTCGCGAAGCTCGCCGACCTCTACGACACCAAATTGTCGTGGCTGCTGGGCGACGCGCCCGAACGTGCCGCGACCGACGATCCCAAGCTGCAGCTTGCTGCTCGCGAGCTCAGCAAACTCAAGCCCGATGACCTCGACCGCCTCCTGAAGCTCATCGCTGCCATGAAGTCCGACGATGACGAGAAAGGAGCCTAACACATGAAAGCGCTTGCCAAGACGATGATGCACAACCGCCGCGCCTTGGCAGACAAGGCCATGAAGGCAGCGATTACGGCGCGGCTGAAAGCCGGCAAGGATCTGGTCAGCCCGGTCTGCATCTATTCGATTGCAGAAGCACACGGGGTTCGCGTGACCTTCAACGACATCAACATGGAAGGGATGTACCAGCGCGGCTCGCCGCCGCGCATCCATCTCTCCAGCAGCGCCCGTTGCCGCGCCGCGCGCTATAATTGCGCGCACGAACTGGGCCACCATCTGCTTGGGCATGGATCGTCAATCGACGAGTTGCGCGAGAACCAGCTGGTCCGCCCGTGGGATGTGCCCGAGAATACAGCGCCGACACCTTCGCCGCTTATGCCCTCGTGCCGACCTTTGGGGCTGCGCAATGCCTTCGCCGTTCGCGGCCTGAAACCGGAAACAGCGACTCCGATCGATATCTATTGCATCGCCTGCCTGTTCGGCGTGGGGTACTCGACGCTCGTCACACACCTGCTGTGGGGCGAGGCGATGATCAGCCGCGCTCGGGCGGACGCGCTGCGCAAGTTCACGCCCCGCACGCTACGCGCCCACATCCTCGGTTCGCTCACCCGAACCCGCTCATCGTCGCCGACGAGGCATGGGGCGGCCATGCGATCGACGCTGAGGTCGGGCACCTCCTGCTGCTTCCGACCGGCACGGTCGCGCACGGCGACGCCGTGGTGCCGGTCGCTGATCTGGAGAGCGGACGCCTGTTCGAGGCGAAGCGCCCGGGCCTAGTCCGTATCGATCGCCCGGGAACCGACTGGGCCGCCTTTGGGCGTGTTGCGCGCACGGCCTATGTCGGGCGTGCCGAATTCCGCCATTTGGAGGATGATGCAGATGAGTAAGGCATCCCGACCGGAGAATCCGGAACCGTTGATGATCGCGGCGAAGAGCGTGTCCGAGGCCTATGCCCGGACCTTGCTCCACGTTCTTGAGCATCAGGGAAATGAGATTGCCCCGCTTGTTCTTACCATGGATGGGTTCGGCGACGGGTATGAAATCCCGGAAAATACCCGTGTTTCGCGCCGCACTGGATGCCCTTTTGAGCAAGAAAAGAAGCGGGACATCGAGGACGTCGCCTACACGATCTTCCCGCAGCGGCTCTGGACCATGGCGCAGGGCGACCGCGCCAAGCTGTTCGAATTCTACAAAATGGCGTTCCCCTTCTATCGCGCCCAGAACCCCAAAGCTAATGGCAAGGGCCTCTATTTCGAGCGGCTGATGATGTACGGCCGCGGCCCTGCGACGGAAACCAGTTGGAGTGGATTTTGAGTCAGTATGATAGCCGCCCCGGCGTGCGCCGGTCGATGTGGCAGGCAACGACCTTCGACCCCGCCCGCGACCATAGCGCGACTGCCCAGCTTGGTTTTCCCTGCCTCCAGCATGTGAGCTTTGTGCCCACGAAGGCTGGTCTGGTCGCCAATGCCTTCTATGCCGCAACAGCTGTTCGATAAAGCTTATGGCAACTATCTCGGGCTCGCCCCAGCTCGCAGCTTTCATGGCGCATGAAATGGGCATTCCGCTCGCGCGTCTCAACGTGACGATCGGGGTGGCCAAGCTGGAGCAGATCACCAAAACGGACAGCGCGATGAAGCCGCTGATCGAGGCAGCCCGCGGCTGCGTGGCGCCGGCTCCGCCGGCGCCGCGGCCGTCTGCGTCCTCCAGCTCGCCGCGCAGCCGGCCTGACGCGCTGTGACCAAGATTGGTACCCCGTGCGGTCGCAAACGCGGCCGCCTTGCCAAGATTCCTGCAGCGACGTCGCGGACCCTTGAGTTCGACTATTCCGCCGCGGCGGCGCTGGCGGTGCCGGCGGCGCTGATGATCATTTCGAGCCATCTAGCGCCGGTCAAGACGACAGCCGTCTACGACAGCTACTGGCGCTTCGCGGCTGAGCGGCAGCGGATATTCTATCGCCGCGCCCTCGGCAGCCCATGGCCGTGGACCGATAATCCGGTGATGGCCGTCTTCAAATTCACCAACGCCTACCGGGCGTCCGATCGCGTGAGCCAGTATCTGATCCGCCATGTGATTTACCGGGAGGATCTTCCTACTTCGATCGACGAAGTGGTGTTCCGCATCCTGCTGTTCAAATTGTTCAACAAGATCGAGACTTGGGAGAAGCTCGAAGGCGCGCTCGGATCGGTCACTTTCGCAGATTACCGCTTCCGAGCATTACGACGCCGTCCTGACCCGGGCGATGGCCGAAGGGCACCGTATCTACTCGGCCGCTTATATCATGCCGCCGGGCAGCTCGGCGTTCGGCCTGGGCGAAGCACCAGAATCACCTCAAGCTCCTTGAGATGATGATGGCGCAGTCCCTCCCGCAGAAACTCGCATCGGCGCGCACGATGCAACGCGGCTTCGAGTTGCTGCGCGCCTATCCGACGATCGGCGATTTTCTCGCCTATCAGTTTGTCACCGACGTCAATTACAGCGAGGTGACGAACTTTTCCGAAATGGATTTCGTGATCCCGGGTCCGGGCGCTCGCGACGGCCTGCGCAAATGTTTCGCCGACACGGGCGGCCTGAGCGATGCTGAACTGATCCGCTTGATGGCCGACCGGCAGGAGCAGGAATGTGCGCGGCTGGGCCCGAATTTCCCTCGCTCTGGGGGCGGCCACTACAGCTGATCGATTGCCAGAACCTGTTTTGCGAAGTCGATAAATATGCCCGCGTGGCGCATCCTGAAGCGGCAGGTCTTACCGGCCGCACGCAATCAAACAGAAGTTTTCTGCACAGGCTCAGCCCATCAAATTCTGGTATCCGCCTAAATGGGGTATCAATGATCGTGTTGCCGCAGGTGCGGTGCCGAACGAAGCGTTTGAGGCAACTCGGCCGGGCGCTGCAAATACGCAAGATGAAAGTGTCTGGGTCGGGAGCATTGCGGTGGATCTAAAAGCCTATCAAGCGCAGGCATTGCTTACCGACAAGGTGCCGGGAACCAGTGAAGACGAAGTCGCGACGGCGTTGATCGTGCCGATGCTGGGCCCGGCCGGAGAGACTGGACAGCTGCTGAGCGAATACAAGAAGCATTTGCGGGACGGCGCGGCGCACCGTCTCTTCAAGGACCGGGTCGGTGAAGAGCTTGGCGACCTCTTATGGTACATCGCCAATGTCGCGAGCAAGTTCGGCCTCGACCTCGATCAGATCGCCGAGAAGAATCTCGACAAGGTTCGCGCCCGTTTTGCGCCCACCTGTGCGCAGGCACCCCAGCGCGATTCTGAATTTCCCCGACCTCGAGCGCTTGCCGCGCCAGATGATTGTGCGCCCGCCGAAGAGCATGAGACGGGGCCGAGGCCGAAAGTGCGGATGACGATCAATGGCGAGGGGATCAGGGCGCTGCTGGGCGACAATGCCTATGATCCCGACGGCTACCGATTTCATGATGTTTTCCACCGGCCTATGCGGCAATTCTGGGCTGGTCGCCGAACCTGCGGGCGTTCCTCAAGCGTAAGCGCAAGAGCCGCCCGCTGCTCGACGAGGTGGAGGACGGCGGCCGGGCTCGGATCATCGAAGAAGGCGTATCCGCTTTGGCCTTCGACTATGCGCGCGTGCATAGCTTCCTCGATGGCGTCAGCGAGATCGACTACGGGCTGCTGCGCACGATCCAGAGCATGACGTCGCATCTGGAGGTCGGCGGCGCCACCGCAGCCGATTGGGAGCGCGCGATCTTGGAAGGCTTTGCGGTCTGGCGGCAGGTTCTCGCCAACAACGGCGGTGAGATTTCGGTCGATCTCGACGCCCGCACGATCAGCTATCTCGGCGCGCTCTGAGTTCCCAGAGCGATCACGCTCGCCATGGCCATGTCACCTTCATGGCTGGTGCTGACTAGCCAAGACATGATGCCAAGCGCCTTGGCGCGTGCCTGTGCCTCGCCATTTAAGGCGATTGTCGGAGCGCCGGAAGGCAGCGTTATGACCTCGATGCCGAGGAAACTGACCCCGCCCGAGAAGCCCGTGCCAAGCGCTTTCGACGGCCTCCTTGACGGCGAGTCGCCCGGACAGACGCGCGACGCGATCGGCGCCAGTCCCGGCAGACTCCTGTTCGTGTAGCGTGAAGCATCTGGTCAGAAGCTGATCGGTCGGATCAGCGAGCAAACGCGTGGTGTGGGCGATGTCGACCAAGTCGATGCCATGCGCGATGATCATATTGTCAGCTCGTTCATATTTCTGACAAATCTCTAAGACGGCTTGTCAGACTGGTGTAGCGAATTTTGACAAACGGGAGGAGCATGATGGTGACGACGGGGTTCTGGAGCGGAGAAACGCTATCTACGTTTGCCAGCGCTCATCGCGCCATTCGACAAAGACCGAATAGATTGTTCAGCATATACCTTGAGCATGGGTCGCGAGATTTATGTTTCTCCAAGCGATCAATCTGAAGATCCAGAAAGCGTTACGATCCGCAAGCTGGATGATGGTGATGCGTTCACGATCCCGTCCGGCCAGTTTGCATTTCTACTGACCGAAGAAATCGTAGAAGTGCCCGATGATGCGCTGGGCTTCATATCGATCAAAGCGAAAATCAAGTGGCGCGGCCTCATCAATGTTTCGGGGTTTCATGTGGATCCCGGCTTCAAGGGCGTCTGATCTTCTCTGTCTACAATGCGGGGCCGGTGCCAGTCCACCTTCGGCAGGGGCAGCCGATGTTCCCTACTTTGGCTGTCGAGCCTCGATCGTCCAACGAAATTGGGCCGAAAAAATGCGGCACAACTCTCATTCCCGGCAGAATTAATACCTAGCATCTCCGGCGAACTTCAATCAATCGCCGGTATCAACAAGAAAATCAAGGATGTTGATAAAGACCTCACCAGCCGCATCCACGCGGTCGAACGCGAACAAACCTATTATAGGGTCATCGCGCTAATTCTGATGCTATTCGTCGGTGCCATGGTGACAAACTGGGTGCGCGAAGGTGGCTTGCAGCAACTTCTGGCCGCCTCGTCAACCGCGCCGGATCAAGCGGATAATGTAAGCGTCGACCCGCGCGTCAATTCGAGTGGCGCAATCCCTTCAAATGCGGCGGACTCGGTTTCAAACTCAACTGAAGCCGGCGGTGGGGTTAAATAATGCAATTGCTGCGACCCACCGCACCCGGAGGACCTCGCAACCTATCTTCCGCGTTTTCTTTCGTTGATCGGACGAGAGCGTTGGTTCAAGCGCGCTGACCAGCTAGACGAGGAACAACGCCGGTCGCCATATCGATTGAAAACATTCCATTCGACAAATGACACGCGCGCATGTCCGCTCCGTTCATTAGCTAGATGGAAGTGTGTCGACTTTAGCGATTCAAAATTCATAGGCTGCCAGTCCGCTATCGGCCCAGTTGCGGCCGCCGCGCGAGGGAGATTTAGCAAACGCCGAATGTCCGCTCGCAGCAAGACCTGACATTGAGGCCGGAACTATGATGAAACCCTACGGCATCCTCCGGCGCTGAAGCCAGCACGTCGACCGCCTGCCGGAAGAAAGCGATAGCGGTTACGGGCGATCCATCGGTAAGCTCGGTCGCGCAAGTTCGGCACCAAACGGGCCCACTCCCGCGACGCCCACGGCCAGCCCGGGCCGGTGTAGCATTGCGATCACCGCGTCACTGTCCCGCAGGACGTGGTCGCCATCGACGACCGAGGATCGTGTCGGGATCGGTCAGGTCGATCCCGTGCCGACGGAACAGCGCCGCACCGGCTACACCTGCATCGCCGCCAGTCGGAAACGGTGCCGGCGATCGTGGCGGAAGAGATGAAGCGTGCGTTGGCGGGCCACAGGACGCATTGCGCGTCGAACAGGATGATCGGGCCGTCGGTCATCGATCCGCTCCATGCGTCGGTGTACCAGATGATCTGGCCGAAGGGCCAGAGGTCGACAGGCACGTCGAAGACGTAGCGCCCGTCGTTTTCATATTCGCGGG